TCAAAAATTAGCCGGGCGTGGTAGCGCCCACCTGTAGTTCCGGCTACTTGGAAGGCTGAGCAGAAGGATCGCCGGAGCCCAGCAGGTCGAGGTTGCGGCGGCCAGGAGCGGCCACTACACTCCAGTCTGGGCGACAGAGTGAGACTCCAACTCAAAAAAAAAAGAAAGAAAAAGAAAAAGAAACTAGCCAGTTATTTTCCAAAGCAACCGGATCATTTTGTATTGCCATCATCAATGTAGGAGAGTCAGGCTGTGTCTCATTCTCACCAGCACTTGGTATTTTTTTTTTAAGTCATTCTATTGGGTATATACTGGTGTCCCATTGTAGTTTCCAGTGGTGTTTCTTTTTTTTAAGTTGGAGTCTCATTCTGTCGCCTAGACTGGAGTGCAGTGGCCGCTCCCGGCCATCACAGCCTTGACCTGCTCCAGTGGTCCTTCCCCCTCAGCCTTCCAAGTAGCTGGGACTACAGGTGTGCGCTACCACGCCCGGCTAATTTTTTGATTTATTGTAGAGACAAGGTTTTGCCATGTAGCTCAGGCTGATCTCGAACCCACAGGCTCAGGCAATGCACTCACCTCAGCCTCCCCAAGTGCTGGGATTACAGGTGTGAGCCACCGTGTCCTGCATTCCTGTGCTGTTGCTTGCTGAACAGACACTGTTGCTGTCGGGGTGTTTTTAGCCTACTTCTTACAACACCTGATTAAATGCTTGACACTCAATTTTATTGTGAAAAAATCCTCTGGAGTGACAGCAGTATTTGTCCTTAGGTTCCCCCTGAGTCCCTGGGAGTGTTTCTGTTACTGTGAAGGGAACAGAGGGCCTGGGGACAGGTGGGATGAGCCATAGAGAGATAAAGTGGTCACAGAACACACACATACATGCATGCACACCATAGCTACAGTCTTCAAAACAATCAGCATCACGTCAGAACACCACCCCCTCAACGGTGGCGGAGTTCCATAGAGTGACCTGTAATCTGTGCCTTGAGACAGGGAAGGCCAGGCAGGTCCTGGAATGTGGGGTGAGAGGATGTTATTTTTCCCTCCTGCTGTTCTCTTGCTTTCAGTCAGGGACTCAAGCTGAGAACTGGGGGGTATGGGCAGACACTCATACACACATCACCACGCATACCTAGAGGCCGCCCCAATCGCCTGCCCGGGCAGAGACTGGGGCCCCAGGTCCCAGCGTGTACAGGCAGGTCCAAAGCCCAGTTCATCCATTTATCCATTCCCCGTGATCCAGCGTCCAAGGTGGCCCGTGCCAGGGCAGGGAAGGTCCTGCCTGGGTTTACATGACCGATTCCTTCTCAGGGGTGGGAGCGTCCCCAGCAGGCCCCCGATAGTTTTTGAGGAGGGGGTTCCCTTCCTCCATGGGGGCCGGCAGCGGATTCAAAGGCATCTCACTCTTCACCTGGACCAGCTCGGGCACCGAGCCTCTAGACTCCGTGCGATCCACATAATGTTGGAGGAGCCCCGCCCCCAAAGCATCACCTTCCACATTGAGGACAGTGCAGGACCGGTCCCTAGAGGGGGAGGGATGACAGACAGTAAGCCAGAGGGAGGAGAGAGGAAGGAAAGGGTCCAGGCCCTACCCTCCTGCCGGGTTCCCCTGGAATAGTCAAGCTCTGCCATGCCAGCCTCCATTGTGAAACTTTATCCTACTCCTCCCAGACCCAAATCTCATTCCTGCATCTTCCCTGGATCCCAAATACCCCTTCACCCTAGAACCTCAAAGATCTCTTATCTAAGGCCGGGCATGGTGGCTCAAACATGTAATCCAAGCAATTTGGGAGGCCAAGGTGAGACTGCCTGAGCCTAGGAGTTCGAGCCCAGCCTGGGCAACATGGTGAGACCTCATCTGTTCAAAGAAGGTATAAACGAGTTGGGCGTGGTGGTGCACAGCTGTAGTCTCAGCCACTTGGGAGGCTGAGGCAGGAGGATCGCTTGAGTCAAGGAGGTCAAAGCTGTGTTGGCTGTAGGAGTGCGGCTGTACTCCAGCCTGGGCGACACAGTGAGACTCCAACTCAAAATCTGCCCAGGCTGGAGTTCAGTGGCAGGATTACAGCCCATTGTAGCCTTGACTTCCTGGGTTCAAGAAGCCTTTCTGCCTCTATCTCTCGAGTTGCTAGAACTGCAAGCACACGCCACCACACCCAGCTAATTTATTTATTTTTATTTTATTTTATTTTTATTTACTTATTTGTTTATTTTTTTGAGTTGGAGTCTCACTCCGTCGCCCAGACTGGAGTGCAGTGGCTGCTCTCCGCCACTGCAGCCCCTACCTGCTGGGCTCAGGCGATCCT